GACTGGGGGAGGGTGTTAATGGGCGGCCTTGGAGGGTCGGTGGGACAGTCTAGGGGCTGGATCAGAGCGGGGAGGGAGAAAAACCCCATCCCTACATGCAGCGCCCAAGAACTTGCCGCACAGCAGCCCTGCAGATGAGGTGGGCCTCAGGCCCCACTTGCCGCGGGATCCCTTCTGCTTTCTTGGGAGGCAGTTGTGCACCAGCAAGATGCCATCACACGGGTGTGCGCCCTGCGAGCCCGGGGCTAGCCCATGCCTGAGTGCTGGGTTTGGCCGCCTGTCCATTGCAGGCACCCTGGGGGCAAGGTTTGTCTTTAAGAAGGGCTCTTTAGGATAGACCGTAAGAAAAATAGTTCCTACCTGCAGGGGCTTTGTAGCTGCTGTGGCCATGGACCCCTCGAGTGGGTTTGTGGACACAAGCCCTTGCAGGACTGCAAATAGCTCAGAGGATTGGGAATGAGCCTATGACACAGCCATGCTGCTGAGGGCCTGGCATTGCTATGTCAAGTGCCTCGGTAACCGCTCAGCTTGGGAAAGGTGAGGAGCCTTCTACTCGAATCCTGGGAAGTTAGACCTTAGGACTCCTGTTGGTATGGGGTTATCCTGACCATTTTGAAATCCTTGGCTTCAGGTCATGGCCTTGCCAGTATCTTGGGAGAGCTGCCTAGCATGTTTCTGGGCTGCTGGTGGAATTTCTCTGTCAGTACTGGGGTACTGGTGAGCTTCTAGAGTCCCCAGAGCCACCACCATCCCCAGGGATGAAGCTGGTGAAAGGCTCGTAGCTCATCTGCCATCATGTCCTGTGTTATATTTGAGAGGACACCTGCCAGGATACACTGCCCACCAGGTGCCCGCATCCCTGCCCCCCCAGCACAGGGGAAGCACACAGAGGGCACGGGATGTCCTTGCTGCTCAGGGATCGTTCCTGGGGTGCTCTGCTGGCATTCTCACTTCCCCTCTATACACAGGCAACCCGGATTAAATCACCACTGGTAAAATTAGCAGATGACACACGGGCAGGTGGGTGACAAAACCTGGGCTGGGGAACAAGGCAGGCTGTTGAGGACAGGCCAGGTCACTGCAGAGCGAGGCGCAACCAGTGACCCAAGACAGCCACAGCCCTGCACAGCCTGGGGCTGCTCAGCACCCCTGGGCCTCTCACTGCCACCCAGCAGAGGGACAAGTGATGGAGGCCGAGCGCAGCGGTGGGTCGGGCGGGTGCGAGGCCACAGATGTGCCTTGTGAGGAGCTGAACCCCCTGGAGAGCCAGGGCTGGGAGGGGGGATGGCAACCAGCACCTGCTAAATTTAGAGCCCACTCATAAGGAGAAAAAAAAAAAAATCTAAAAACTTGCAGGCTCCAAATTTAGGCAGTTGCATCTCCCACTGAGCATCACTCCATTGCACTGCTGCTGACAACACCCCTTCAGCCCCGGCACTCCAAATCAGGCACCTCCTGTTCGGGATCCCAAAGGTGGGGACCCCACACGTGGCCAGGAATCAGGGAACTCCAGTGCACCCCAGGACCAGCCCAGTATTTCATCACCATCTTTATTTGAGGCAAGCCCACAGCAGTCCAGGTGTACACGGCAACATGCGCTACGCTACGGACACCATTTCCATGCAGGCAACCACAGCTATGCACACAGTGGGAGGACAGGGCCGGGGCTGGGTATGAGGTTCCGCAGCTCTCAGGGGCCCCCCAGCACTGGCACCAGTGCTTGGGGCTGGGGGTGGTGTTCAGGGGCTTCTGCTCCATCCTGTGGTCTTCAAGGGATCAACAGGGCTAAGCCAGGAGACACCAAAGGGGACAAGGGGTTCAGAGCTCCAAGTTTCCCTCAGCTGCACCTCTGGAACCAGGGACAGCCAAGCCAGCATCCCAGCTTCTGTGGGGGCCCTCCTGGGCTGGAGACATTTGCACCATTAGACTGAGAAGGTTGCTAGCTGCCAGGCCCATTGAACTATGGCTTTGGCGTGGTGGGAGTGGATCAAAGCTGTGTCTCCCCCAGGGGATGTGGCAGGGACTGTCACACTGATCATCAGAAGGAGATGTCTCTACAGGAGCCTGTCACTCTTGGCAGACGGGTGCTGGTGTGTCCTTGTTCCGCTGGCTGAGGGTGGTGGTCCTGGGCTCTCTGTGCCCTGCAGGACACATGTCCGAGTGCTCCCTCCAGGCTTTGAGCTCAAAGGAGCGCTCCTCCTCACCTCCGACACACTGCCAGACCCATGGGTGCAGGCATGGTACCTGCTTGCTTCCCCTGGCCCTGCCACCACTGGCAGCAAACCACAGCAGACCCAAGCACTGCTCTTTGTCCTGAGCCCAGCAAACCATGACCAGGTGCAAGGAGCAGGTCTGCTGTGAAAACCGTTGCTGATTCCATACAGGCACTTCCTCATTGGAGCCCCGGGATAAAACCCTGGGTTGAGGCTGAGCAGGCAGGAAAATGGATCCAGATCTGCTGCTATAAACACTGCTGACCTCGTGTGTTGTCATCCCATGGATCAAACCTACCACCCCACCTGCTGGCAGAGTTCTGGAGATCACAGAATGATCTGAGCTGGAAGGGACCTTAAAGCTCATCCTGTTCCAACCCCCTGCCATGGGCAGGGACACCTTCCACTAGACCAGGTTGCTCCAAAACCCATCCAACCTGGCCTTGAACACTGCCAGGGAGATAGCTGAGGTTTCTTTCACCCGTCCTGAGCAGGGGGCTTCAAGGCACAGCTGCTGTTGGAGAAGGGCTGGATAAATGGAGGCTGCTGGTTCATGGGACACGGAGTTTATTTGGCCTAGCCCCTGTGTGCTTTCACCTGGCTACTCATTAACAACCGCCCTGGGTGAGGAGGAGGAGGGTGGATTTACACACCGTGGGTGGAGCGTGCCCATGTGCACAGCTCACAGCTCTAGTGAGCTGCGGCAACCTCTGTGCTCTGCAGCACGGGATACCCTCTTCATGGCTCCTCCGCCAGTGCATCCTTGAGTGCAAGCGCCTTTCCCCAGCTCACCCTGCCCGGCCCTGCTGCCAAGGGCAGGAAAGGGAGCTGTGGCAGCCCACTAGAGCCTCCTCCTGTGCCCTGGCTGAGAGGGGCGCTTGTGGGATGGAGCCTGGCTGGGGCTCCCCAGAGTGCTGCCATCTCCTCCTGTGCCAGCAGGGCCCTGCAGCTGCTATCAGAGAGCCCACACATGGCAGCACTGTCCCTGCCTGGGGAGAGTGACCAGCAGCTCTCTCTCAGCTCATTGTTCACTCTGAAACATAATGATGGCAGCACCCTCTGCACAGCCAGGAGGATGCTATTGAATGGAGACCTGCAGCGTGAGGAGGGACCAGGCACTGCATCACTGTGGAGGATACGGTGACTTGTCCCCTGTGGCAGAGACATAGGGGGGACAAGCAGTGGTTATCCTGCCTGTGGCAACATCCATGAGGCACACACCACTTCTGGTTTGCTGACAGCAGCACAGGGATCTTCACCAGATCAGAGGCAGCTGAATGGGAACAGGGGCTGACTGGGGAGCTGGGCATCCCCACACACAAGGGACACTGCAGGAGACAGCAGCTGCCTGCAGAAGCAACCAGCAGCCCTTCCTGGGGGCCGATCCTGCCAACTTCTGGCTGCTGGAAGCATTGTGAAGTGGATCACACATCCAGACCATCATGGCCTCTGTGCATTTGCCCACTTCCTGGTCCCCATCACATCCTGGGGAGAAGCTGCATCCTGTGGTCTGTGCCCACACACCTCATCACACATAGGTGATGTCACCAAATCCTGCCTGTGCATTCCAGCTGGGCTCCAGCAGAAAGCATCTGCAAAGCTCCTCAGTTTCAGGGAGGGTTGGGGACCTGGCCATGTGGAAACTGAGGTGCAACAGCTCTCTGATGCTCCCTGCAGCTATCCAGGAACATCAGAGGCAGCACAAATCACCACTGGGACAGCACTGGCCTAGTGAAGCACATGGGGAGACATGTAAAAGGGGGGACCACACACAGTTCCAAGTGAGAAGAGCTTCTGGATGTCTGACCCCAGGATCCCCAGTCCCTGGGGCAGGCTGGTAGGCTTTAGGAGAGAGGAAAGTCCACATGGAAGGACGTGCCATGGGGGACAGCCAGCAGACAAGGGAGGTGTCATTCGTGTCCAACCTGGGCTCATAAAAAGAAGGTGACCCCCAAAGTCCCCCCCAAGTTTGCTAAATACTTACATCAGTATGAATATGAAGCCCAGAGCTGGGGCATGGCGGGGGGGGTTGGTGAGGGGGAGCAGGACTGACAACTCCCCCGAAATCCCATTTTTGCTATTTCCCCTTCAAAACACATTCTCCTCCCATCCAATCCCATGCTTGTCCCTGTGGCCCAGGCACCATCTGTCCTCAGCTTGTCCCATGCCTTGCGGCTCCCTGGGACGGCAGCAAGGGCTATTTTGCATCTGCTTAAAACCCATCCCAGAAACAGTGGCTGAAAGCAGGGCAGAGACCATCTCCTCCAGGCTAAGAAAATAAATAACTCCTCCATGTGCAGGGACTGGTGGACACGAAGCCAGCGCAGCAGAACATCGAGCGTCCTTCGAGAGGACTGGAAATAAATAAGTGAAGCTTGGCGTTTCCTCCGGAGCACGTTCCTCTGCAGCTCCGCTGGGGCGGGTGGCATTTAAATAGAGGGAAAGGAACCCCAGTCCTGGTGCTGCACTGCCAAACACAGTCCCTGTGTGCCAGCCTGCCCTCGCCCTCCGCTTCCATCTGGCTGGAGAAGATGCTTGTGGCAGTTAGGAAGGAACCTCCAAGACCTTCCTAGGACAAATCATCAAAAAAAAGTTGTTCTCTTCCCCTGCCACACAGTGGGGATTGGGGGACCCCCGCACTGGGTAGGTGACCGGGACCCCCCTGTGCTGTGGGGCTCCTTGTACACTGCTTATTCTCGAGTTCGGTTTCTTCTCTTCAGGAAGAAGAAGCTGCTCTTCTGGGGGGGCCCCAGCAGCATTGGCACTTGGCTCTTATGTGTAATTTTGACCTGAAACAGAAGTGAAAAACCCACCTTGTAAGGAGGTTGTGGGCTCTGAGCCACCCCCAGGCACCTCCAGCCCAGGGACCCCACAGAGTGACCTGAGCGAGCTGGGAGCACCCAGCACCAGGGCGAGGAGCAGCACTGCCCCACGGCTGTGTCATTAGATGCTTCACTGCAGGGGAGTAACTGCTCTGGAATCACGTCCAGGGATGGGCAGAGGATTTCTCCTCTGGGCAAGCTGCCTGCCAGATGGTGGGGGACCACACTGCAGCAGCCCCACAAGGGATGTGGCTGTGCTCACCCACCCTGCAAGGGACAAGTGTGTCCCTGTCCCTATGGTTCCCACAATTGCTTGCCATGAGTCCAGGGCACAGTGTGGGCTACCCACCAGCAAGCGCAGGAGCCTTCCTCCAGAAGCTTTGCCACACTGTGTGGGGAGCCGAGGCTGCCCACCATGCTGCCTGCCAGTCCCTGCCTGCCCCATCCCACCATACTGCCAGCCCTGCCTGCCCCATCCCTACACACTGCCAGCACACTGGGGACTCACCATGCAGGATGGCTGCATCCAGGGCTCCCCGTCCACCTGCATGGGCAGCAGCTTGGACGTCCTGCAAGGTGCAAATAGAAGGAATACGGGATGACACAGGCACCAGCTTTCACCACTGGTTGGGTGCTCAGCTGGGAAGGGTGACAAATACCTGATGGTGACGGACGAACACTGGGCCAGCCTCTTCCCAGCACTCTTCAGCCCTGTGTAGATCTGCCCCATCTCCATCGCACCCTCCAGCCCCACCACCTCCAGGAGGTGGTCACTGAGGTCTGCAAGAGAGAGAGATCAAAGTCAGTTCTCCTCTCCATGGGGATCCCCTGCCTTCCACCATCATCTGAAACACTGGGGCTGCTGGCTGCCCTGAAGTGCAGCGGGGCTGGTGACACTGTGGAGATGTGTCTGTCATGCCCTGAGACCACTAAGCATTTGCAGTGCTGGGCAGTGGTGATGTCCAAAATCTCTGGAGCAAAAATACTGCTGGTCTGAAATAGTGCCCAGTCCTGCACGGCTGCAAGGTGGCAGCCCAGATACTCCCAGCCATTCCTTGTTTGCAGCATTGTATGCAATGATGGCAGACGCCTCTCCATGGGTGCCCTGGAGCACTGCAGCTCCACAGTAGCAAGAATGCACACCAGAATCCTTGCTGGAAGGGATCTGGTCAAATCTCAGGGCATCGCCCCTTTTGCCAGCTCCTCCGGCTCTTCCTGGGCACCAGCAAAGGTGCTCGACATCAGGGCAATTCACTTGGTCTCTCCCTTCAGGGTCATCTTTCACCGCTGGTGGATCCCCCACAGGAGAAGCCCTTTGAGCCTCCCCACATTCTCCTACCCACTGGGGATATGCCCAGGAGACTGACCCACTGCCTCTCACCATCTTTGGAACAGGCCTTTGCCCTGTCCCACTCTCTGCTGCCCATTCCCATGAGCAGATGACAGCCTGGGATGGCTGATAACACCACCACCCTGGCAGCAATGCAGCAGGCGGCAGTTTCCCACCCCAGCCCCAGGCTGCAGGAGGTTGTCAGGTGGAAAATACAGGCCCTTTGCCTATTTTGCTGTATGCTTTCTAATCCACTGCTCTGTGCTGAGGAGCCCTAGCAGCACTACGGGCTGACTGCACCCCACACATGCCCCCAGGGAGAGGTCCACTGTCTGCAGCAGTGGGTGCAAGGTGCCAGCAGGGCACGGCCTGGGTCCTGTGCTGTTCCTGAACGCCCCCAGCCAAGCTGGCAGAACTGTGGTGGAACCTGGAAAGATGCTTACTAAAGCCTTCAGTGCCAGCTCTGCAGCTCTGCTCCCAGCTCCTCCTCTGCAGCAGCACCCGCCTGCCAGCCCCAGAGAGCACCGGGGCTGCCCAGCCTCATGCCTGCAGGCGATGGGTCCCATTCGGACACCCCCTGAGCGTGATCCCTAGAGCGTGGGGGGAGAGGTGGATGGCAAGGCATGGGAGCCATATCCTCTGGTCACCATGGCACAGCATGACCAGCCTTGAGAAATGGGGTGCGGGGTGCATGTGGGCAGAGCCACCCTCCTTCTCCAGCTTGGACAGATCATTGTTGGGATCACCCTGTCACCCCAAAAGTTGATGATAGCAAGAGATGATAGCAACCCCTCCAGTGCTGCTGCTCCAGTGCCATGTGCACTGACCCCCAGGAGAACTGTCATCTACCCACCTCCCTTATGCCAACCCTGCACACTCCAATCGTCCCCAAGCTTCACTGCTCACCCTGCACGCAGAACTTGAGGTCCTTGGCGTCCGTGACCACCGTGGCATGCAGCTTCTCAGGCACTTTCTTGCCCAGGCGGTTGTAACCACGCTGCTTCTTGGTCTCACCCCAGAGGTTGGAGCCGCCGTACATGCTGGGGATGTTAAGGACAGCGATGCCCTCCAGAGATGTGTTACTCAGGTCCAGCAGGGTCCCATCACACTGCCGGGCACAGGGGCAGTGTCAGGACACAGGGTGCCCAGCACTGCGGAGCCCAGCCTCCTCTCCTCAACTGCACACTGAAGGAACTGGGCTCCCCAAGCACAGTGGGTCCGCAGATCAAGCCTGCCCCAGGGTGGCTGGGGCTGGAGGTGCACACAAATCTCCCCTCTGCTCTGCATTTCAAGGGCTGACAACCACCACCTCACTTTCCTTGTGCTGCTTTCCCCTCCATTCAATATGCATTCTACTGCACATCCCAGATGGCAGTTTGGAACAGCAAATTCCTATGAGGCCACATAAAACCTTGGTCGCATTCAGCTCTACGACCCAAAATTGAAGGCAATTCCACCTTGGCCCCAGAGAAATCTCCATCGAAGCATCTCCAGCACGTGCTTCCTCACTTCCCCTTGTTCAGACTGACTCCAAAGAATCAGAAAGTTTGGCTGCCCAAAACCTAACTCAAACCAGTTATCTTCAATCTGGAAACTAGAAATGAGGATGGAAGGAAATGACAGGAAAGATGTCAGAGATAAAAATGGCAGGCTTCAGAGAGAAAACTGCAAGCCAAGCACACAGAACTGGTACCCTGGGCTTCGCAGTCCTACAGCAGGACTGACACAGCTGAAAATTCCTTATAAAAGGTAAAGTATCTGTTGCCTGCAGCTTTCCCACAGGCCTGAAAGCAGCAGCCATGGAAATGCATTTCTTAACTTCAGGTCTTCTCACTCTTGTGCTACTCAGGTGATGCTGGATCCCCTTTCTAGATACCTCTGGAGGAAGCAGCTGCTTTCCCATTCAACTGTGTTTTCTCTGGAGCATCTGTATTTTCCTTTATGCAACTCTCTGCCTGCCGCACTGTGCTTTAGCAAACAGCAGCACATTTTTTTCCTTGCATTTTGGTGATGCAATGGCATTTCTACCCACTCTTGCTTTGACAAGAGGAATGCAAATGGGCTTGATGAACCCCTGCTGCTGCTTTGGCTCCAGTTGTTTTCCTCTAGCAAAGAGTGAAGGTCTCGAGCTTATTTTTAATACCTTGTCTGCAAGCACTGAGCATGCCGGCCACATGTATGTGGAGCTGGGTGCACACACGAGCAAGTATCTCTGTATGTTCAGATCTGCTTTGCCTCCCCGATGCTCCAAGATCTTATTTTTAGCCTTGCATTGAAGGCAAAAGGCAGGAATCTTCTGGTTTGCGAGTGAAAAGCTGCATCTCCAGAGCATGGATAGACTGTAAAACCTTTCGTTCTCAGTACATCTGAATGATACCATGATTTGTAGGAGAAGACCCTAACTCTCTGAGCAGTGGATACTGAGCAAGAGAACTCCAATTTCCCTTTTTCCCATGCCTAGCTGAGTCGAGCATCGCTCCCAACTGCAGGCATCCTTCCTACTGGCCTGGCCATGGTGGGATGGGAGCGAGCTGGGGCTGCCCGGGCTGTGGGATTTCTGGGGATGCTGTGGGGCAGACAGGACCACAGCTACCCACGTGCACAGGGAGCTATCTCCCCCTGCCTGTGCCCTCCCTCCCCCGTTAGCATGCCAGCATGCTACAATGGGCTCTTTGAGCAGGGGCAGCTGAAGGCACGCTGGCAGCGATGCTGGAAGTCGAGATTTGCAGCTGGGGGAAAAGCAGATTCATCTCCAGGAGCTGTTAGGGGAGCGAGTGCCAATTTCCAAAACAAAACTGCCATTTCTCTGCAAGGCTGACAGTTGCCTGGGAGCTGGGGGGAGGACAGGCTGCCGCTTTCAACTTCAGATCCTGTGGGATTAACGCTTTCCTGACGGTGCGGCGCAGCTGGTGATGCTTTGGTGGGGAGTGTGTGGGCACCTCACAAGCAGTGGAGGGCACCTCACACTCATCAAACTCCACAGACACGGACTTTACGTGCCACAGGACACTGGTGTGTGGCTGGAGAAGGGGGTGAGACAGCCCTGTCCCTCCCCACCAGCTGCCAATGGTGCAGCTACCCCATTAGGGCTTTGGGAAGGGCTGAAACACCCCTCAAGCCAAAACTGTAAAAGGGTCATCTTATCCAGGGGTAAGAAGAGTTGGAAGTTTACAGCAAAGCATGGCCCAAGCCCCCTAGCACGAGCGGAGAAATGACAACACTCATAGCAACCATGAACCCTCCTCCCCACTATAATTAAAGACTGTTTCCATGTCATCCAGAGATTATTCCAGGCACGCTCTCAAATACAGCTGGAAGGGGGGTGGGGGGAAATACAGGGCTATTCTTCTGCCTGCAGCTGGCCAGCTCTGCAGCAAGCTCCGCACAGTGAAAGAGTGGGTCCTGCCAGCCACAGCATCATCCTGCCACCCTAAGGGGTCAAACCTCCCATGGCACCCGCTCCTCAAACACCCAAAAGCCCTGACCAAGTGACCCTGGTTTAAGATGAAATAATGGCTTTGACCTGATAGAGGGGAGATTTAGATTAGACATGAGGAAAAGCATCTTCACTATGAGGGTGCTGAGGCGCTGGCGCAGGTTGCCCAGAGAAGCTGTGGCTGGCCCCTCCCCGGCCGGGGTCAAGGCCAGGGTGGACA